ACCATTTTACTGGAGTGTGATATTTCCAACATCCTCTCGATTCCCCCGGCGCTAGATCGAGTGTCATCTTAACGGGAAATCTTGAATGTTCATCCAACGTTTTTACACTTGAAATATTACACAAACGATTGTGTTCCAATTACATGGATTAGCGGTCGGGTTGATCCGATTGTTTCTCCCTTGATCGATCCTTCCCTTCTCCACAACTGCATATAGGCATAGCCTAGAAAGCTCAGCTCGTGCCAGATTTCACCCTGGTGAGCGTCCATGTTTAACATTTCTTCTGCCTTGGTCGTTAGTAGTCCTGCGTGCTTGGTTGGGACCTACCACTTACGGATCATGTTGTAGAACTCTTCCATGGGACATTGACCGCTCTCGTGAACTTCCCCACGAGCGGAACACACATGTAGACATTTGTCTGAGGGTGCCCTTTTCGGCCACACTTCTGGCAGGTCAATCTTTTCCAGCATCCGCGATCGTCATGCCTTTTCGAGCCGCAGTGTGTGCAGGCTTTCGCAGCTCCGCCCCGATTGCGATGATCATCTCGGTCTGTCTTTCGCGATCTGTCTCGTTATTCCCCTGGGTCTGCAGCCTGATCAGTGATAATCGTCACACAAACCTTACGGAAAAAATCTTCCTCATCTGCATCGTCCGAACTTGAGCCTGAGTCGCTTTCCTCACTTATCGCACAAATGGCCTTCACCATCCGTGGTGTCTTCGAATATGCTTGGGCTGGCGTCGTAGCAGATCGCGATCGGTACTTGTTCGAGTAAGTCGGATCCTTATTCTGTCAAAAACTCATACGCTGATAAGCGCGTAGAGTTTCTTCCATCGTGTTAGCATCATGCACTCGCAATAGGGTCAGTTGCTTCGCCAACTATCGATCATCAAAAGTGTCACTAAAGTGTTCTACATGCTCACGTCGGCTTACTGGCGATCCATCTCTAAGCGCCACTTTTGCTCGCATTCCTGCTACATTCAACCGGTTTATGTATTCCAACGGGGTTTCATTCGGTCTCCTCCGCGCGTGGTAGTATTGTCTTCCTGCTGACATTCCATATCCCCCATATCGGACCATGAAGCCTTCTTACAACGACTTCCAATCATCGCTGGTCGATCTGCTCAACTGGCTGTACCAATTTCGGTCAGGTCCTGTGAGCAGGTCTCCATATACCAGACATTTCTCGTCGTCTGGAGCCTGACCGCGCAGAAAGGAAGTCTTCATCTTGTTAAACCAACCTCTAGCACGTTCTTCGTCTTGATCACGTCCTGAAAATTCTTTCAGATCGGCCATCGCAACAATCTCACCCTCTGTGCGCTGAAACCTCCCGTAGGGGCGGTTCCTGCAGTTGCCACTTGTCGTCGTCTTAGGTCATATGGTCCCCTGCGATCTGACCCATGTTCTCTCGGTCGATCGCGGTATGATCTACTGACTCCATTTCGACGTCCGAGACGATCGGTGAGTTAGCTCCTTGTTCTTCGCGATCGCGAGTGAATTTTTTCTATGGCGGACTTGAAATTTTTTTGCAACTAGCTTGGCTACACCGTGTTTGCATTCTGTGAAGCCGGAATTTGAGTCGATCGTACTCCACTGTATGCCGGGTCGAACCTGTTTTTAAGCAGTGCTGCCCCTGTCGGTCCCAGCGACATCCGCTGCATCCCAAACGACTCGTCTGAGTCAATATCTGATTCTGCCGAGGCTTAGCGTGACGACCCCGTGTATTCCTCTTTCACGTTGCGGTAGGTTAACTCTCTTCCTTGGCTCAGGTGTTTTTCCTCTCTCTCGACTCGCTGGCTCAGGTGTCCTCCTTCACTCTTTATTCGCTGGCTCAGATGTCTTTCTTCACTCTTGATCCGTTGGCTCATACGGTTGTGATACCCTGTCTGTGGAGTTAGCTTATCGAATAGTAGCTGTCCTGCTATGATCACCCGATCGTGATTAAATTCTAAGAGCGTTTGTGCGTCGAAAGCTCCAGCTGTAAATCCAGCGTCTCTCAGCAGCTGAATAAGCTGATGCAATGCCTCCGACTGATTCGAGGTCACTTTCGGTGGCGATACTGGACCTTGGATCGACCTGATCAGCTTAGGTTTCAGCACCCTTAGGACTGGGTCTTCAGCAAGGAGTTTCTTCAGTTGTTGCCAATGGAATTCCCAGGTGATCCGTTCCCATTGCCAGCCTTCTGATTCCACATCCTGACCTTCTGCCTTGATCTATTGCTTGTTTCGATGTGGCTCTGCCGTCTTCGTCTTTGAACGGGCCAACTTAGGGAGTGTGTTTCCTCGCCTTTAATTGGGCGGTAGTTCTGGATGAAGATCTTTCAGTTTTGACTGAAGGATTTCCATCTGGCAGATCGTGCTTTGCAGCACGATCCGCGGTGGTCCCCGAAGGGACCTCAGGATGGGGTTGAAGTTTTTTTATCCAGATCAGCTTGGTGGTCTTCCTCTTTGACTTTCTTGTCATCGTATCCCCTCCCAAAGCTATGATGGTCTTGAGATCCTTTCTCTTCGCGCGTCTGTGGCGATCCTTATTCCGCTGACGCTCCAATCCTAGGTTCAGTGTTGATCTTATAATCCTCATCTCGGGACTCACGGTAAAATCACGAGTCACCAGAAGATCCGAGCACGCGCACCAATGTGGTGGAGTGGGGTTCTCTCATTTTTTTAGGCTATCCCGACTCTCCACTGGCGCCCAGACGACCGACTAACGGAGGGGGTACTCCGATTCTGCTTGCACTTGTTTCCTTCTTACCTTGTGTACCCGTCGGCAGGGCAGGTTGCACTCTTCTAGGTGGACTCGACAAGATGCTAAACTTGACCGTTGTAGAGATTGGCGCTGATTAGATGAAAAATCCTCACCCGATCGCGTGTTCTGGGTTGGCGCTTTCCTAGAGTCGCCGTGATCTGCCCTGATCACCATGTGCCAAAATGTGTACTTGAGTCGCGAGCCTTTCTGGACACTTGAGCCGTCTCGCGATCTTGTACTTCAACCGATACGGTTGGCTGCGTCCGATCGCAGTAGAGGTGTGTTGAGAGTCCTAGCACTCCTGGCCAAATAGCTCCAGGAGTGATCGTTCTATCCTTGATGTCGAGATTCTCAGACATCGGGGGGCCAAAATAGCCAACCCGGGAGAAGATCGACACGAATTTGTTTAGAAGCAAATTGAACTCTTTATTACTCTGTTACCAAACAAATAGCTCTATTGGAATTACAAAATGCCTGGCCAAACTATCCAGGAATTGATACGTCTCGATGACACGCGTTGTCCTTGACATCGGGAGGCCAATATACGTTCCTGCCCGGAATTCCCTTGTATCTTGCGTAGACGGACCCATGTCGAATTTCTTGATCACATGGTTACTAAGCGCATAAAATCACGTTGAGAGACGAGCCCTGGCCAATCGATCCAGAAGCAGATACTTCTAGCACGCGTGGCAACATCTGTCTTCGGGAGGCCAATTTATGTTCCTGCCCGGAATGAAGTCGACATGTGCCCTTTGAGGTAAATTGAACTCTGTCTAATGTTAACCAATCAGACCCTCACACCTTACCCCTATAACTCAGAAAATCAGATGACACTCGTCGCCTCTACAGATCGCCCCTTGTACCTATGTGGCACAGACCAGATCCAACAACCGTCTGATCGCATCAGGGCATGGTCCACGCCAGATCGCGGCACCTTGATCGTGGCCCCTGATCGCGGTCCCCTGATCGCGGTACCTCAATCGCGGTCCCTTGATCGCGGCCACTGATCGCGGTCCCTGATCGCGGTCCTCTGATCGCGGTCCCCTGATGGCGGTCCCTCAATCGCGGTCCCTTGATCGAGGTCGTTTTCGCCGCTTGGAACCATTCTAACTGGACGAGATACTTCCGTGAATGATCCCAACGGTGCCATCCATATGATCGGTCCTCGTTCCACGATCGTTCCGCCGGTTCCCACTCCGTACTTGGGCATACGTTCGAGGTTTTATGACACCGACCTTGATCGACTTTACCACACGTTCGAGCAACTTTAGAACAAACGTTCGACTCGTTCTCTTCGTGATGAGCTGGCTGCAGCTCGTCGAGACACCTCTGAGCTGCGTGAACAGGTCTCTTTGCTAGTCGACCATACTAGTTCGTTGAAACCGGACCACTCGAAGGTGGTCTCGGCTCTCGACCGTAGAGGTGTTCTTTGCATCTCGAAACGTGCTCGTACTGATATTTCAAGCGGAGACGACCAACATAAACGTAGGATGCGTGCGCATTTTACGGGGCAGTTCAATCGTGTATGCGTTGCCCAATTAACGCAACACTCGAAATGGAACGATGTACCTGGGCAGTAATTTCCTGCTGCCCACGTTTGTCACTGCGTGCTTCGGTACGTTTACTGTAGACAGTAAAACTAGGTCTTTTTCATCAAATGAAAGAACATTTGCTCTTCCATGTTTGTCTGCGTTTCTTTTCTGCTTGTCTAGTGCATCTGCAATAGAGTCTTGAACGAAGCGGACAACCGCTTCGTGAGTCAGCAGAAATTCCTCTGCTGATTCATCCTTGTCAACAGCAGTGTGCTTCGTGTGCACTGCTGAAAGAACGTTGTCTATACCAGTGAGGGTGTCATCGTCCTCACTTTGGCGGTCATTGGCGATGCTGAATATGCCAGAATCATCGTCATCATCATCATCGATATTTACCCCATCGACATCGGCATCCATCACGTCGACACCATTGTCGGCGGGTGATGAGCAAGAACCAGATCGGGTTTTGTTCGAGCGATTCCACACCCCCCTTAAACTAGATTCACACTCTAAGAAGCCGGGCAAACGTGGATGAGATAGGCCATTCACGAAGAACGTTGTACGCGTTGTCGATGCATGCACCGAGGTGACGGCGAATTCCGCCATCGGCAAGAACTCACTCCAGCTCGTAAACGAGTGGACATACCCTCGAAAGATCTCTTCGAGAACGCGGTTGACGCGTTCCGTTTGACCATCTGTTTCGGGATGGTCAGAAGTTGACATCGTCAAACGTGTTCCAAGTAAACGGAACACGGATCGCCAGAACTCCGCTGTGAAGCGGGATCCCTATCGGACACGAGCTCACGGGGTAAACCGTGAAGTCGGAAGATAGTATCGATGAAGACACGCGCAACGCCCTGGGCTGTGTTAGAATCCGGTACAGCAACAAGATGCACCATCTTGCTGAACCGATCAACAAACACAATAATACCCGTATTCTTGTGAACGCCCTTGGGAAACCCGCACACGAAGTCCATCGATACGGACTGCCAACACTCTGCCGAAATCGGAAGAGGCTGTAATGGTGTGCGGGATTAAAGACTAGGCTTTACCCGTTGACAAACTTCGCAAACGCGAATGTGTTTGCGCACAAACTCATACTGGCGGGGCCAGTAGAAGTCACGACTCACCATGAGATACGTCTTTTCTCTACCGCGATGTCCACTTGTTGGGGCATCGTGACACTCGTACACGATGCGCAATCGCACATCATTATGAGCCGGAACGACGACACGAGGTGTTTCGCCGTGGACTGCTGTATAGTACAGCAGTCCGTCACGAACAGAATACCGTTCGGTCGAATAGCGGTATTGAGACGACAAGCTTTTCAAAGCTTGATCACACGGATTGGATACGTAATCCATCAACCGCAGAAGAGACTCATCTTCTGTGTATGCTTCCCGCACGTCATCGAGAAGATTCTACGACGGAACACTCACTGTTAGTGTCGCGACAGTGGGATCGCCCCTACTGTTGGGTGCGCAGTCAGCTCGAAATCGGACCGACGCGAAAGAGCATCAGCGACGACATTAAGTCGTCCTGGTTACACTCGACGGAGAAGTTGTACTCCGCGAAGAAAGACAGCCACCCCGTCATTCGTTGCGAGATGTGTGGACTGGTTACGGCCGTGCGTAACGACTTATGGTCGGTATAAACGATGAAGAGCCTATCTCCTAAGAGATATACCCGAAACTTGGCCAGTGCGTATTTCATGGCAAGTACTTCCTTGTCATGAACCGGATAATTTCTCTCAGCTGCTTGCAGCTGACACGATTGATAACAGATGACGCGCTCAACGCCGTCTGAGTCGTACTGCGTTAACGCGCACCCGATTGCAAAATCGCTGGCGTCACAGAACACACGAAATGGCCTATCTTGATCTGCAATCGCCAAGACAGGCAATTGCACCAAGCTTTTATTGATGCCTTCAAAAGAGTGCTGACACTCAGCGCTCCATGACCACCTCTCGTTTTTCTTTAGCAGACGAGAGAGATGTACGGTCATCTCGGCATAGTTGCGCGAGTATTTGTGCGAGTACGCCGCCAAGCCAAGGAACTTTAGAAGTCCGTTGACGCCGACTGTTACAGGCCAGTCGCTAATCGCCTTGATCTTTTCCGGATCAGGGCGTACGTCGTTTTTACCCACGATGCAGCCAAGAAGTGGTGTTAGTTCGCTGCGAATATGCACTGCTTGAGGTTCGCGAACAACTTACGCTCACGCATTAGTGTAAGAACCTTCCGGACGTGGATTCTATGAACCTCCGCGTCCGTCTTTCCGTCTATAGCTCGGCTATGGACGAATACATCGTCGAAGTAACTCGGTGCGAAGTCGCGCACCGATCGCAATAGATTTGTAACACATCTTTTAAACGTTGCGGGGGCGTTACTTATCCCCTGTGGCATCACTAGCCACTCCCAAAGCATACCACTGAAGGTGCTCACTGCTGTGTAAGGGATATCCCGTTCACGCATGAGGATCTGATAGAATCCATCCATCAAATCTACGGATTAAAAGATGGTACTCTTTGCCGTACCATCAATGATGACGTCCTACCTCGGTATTGGCGTCTAATCCGGTACCGTTGCAGCATTCAATCTGTTGAACGCGTGCACTATCCCCCACCCGTCTATGGAATTTCGCACATAGAAGGTCGGAGAGCTTTGTGAGTATGCTGACTCCATCATATGACCAGCCGCTAAACGTTCGGCAAAGAATTTATCGATCGCTGTGACCTGTTCACGAGGCAGTGGCCACTGCTTCATGACACAGTGCTTTAAACCGGGTTTCAGTTCGATCTCATGCCGGGTGCCTTTGTCTTTGGGAAGCTCGCATGGCACGGATTCCGGGAAAAATCCTTGAATTCCACCAAATCCTTATACAAAGGATTTGTCTTCAAAGACTCCCATGATTGAGACGTGTATCGATCAATCCGGACCTTCTCATCGAGAACGCTCTCGTCCATTGATGAGCTACTGAGAACCCGTTTGCTCTCAGTAAACACTTGTGCCGACCGAATTTCGGCGACGTACTCGTCCTCTATGACGAGTACACAGATCTGCTTGATCTTGTCACTACGCAGATCTCACAAAAACATTTTAAATTCTAGGGTTGGCAACTTGATTACCTCCGAAGCTGACTTCGGGGGCGTCACCAGATCAAGTGTATAAGCGCCTACACTTGATCCGTCATTCACCGAGACATTAACTGACTCGGTGCTTTTCTGGGAAAACACACCCGCAGGTGGTTGGGGATCCACACCCTCAACATAACTTTCTCGGGGGTTACCGCTCTCAGGAACGCCGGGATTTTCTTCCGTTACGGGTACTATCACGGTCACGTCCTCTTCTATCGACTCTCTTTCAGTAGAGCGGGCTTGCTCTACGATCGACTCTCTGATAGTGATCTCGCTTCAACGTGTTGTCCATCCTGAACAACACTAGTCTCTCTTCTCAGATGCACCCTTCTTGGTGTGCATCCGTGTTCCAGTCCACTCGATCTCTTCGAGTGGTGAACCTTCGGCGCAGCCTGTGTCTCTACACAGGTGCCGGAAGCTGATTACACAGCGCAGTGGCTTTCTACACTGTGATCTTGTGCAATCGTTCGAGCGACCGTACCACATTTGAGGCCATCGCACTCACTCGTAGTACATCCACACGCTTGTTACGCTCCAAAACCATTATCGGATGGCCATCCGATGAACAAACAGCAGACATCTTTACGGATCGATGCTGCCAACTAACCCATGGCCGATACTTTCTAAGCCATGGCAGACCAAGGATGACATCAAATTTGTCATCCAAATCTAATACGATAAAGTCATCATCGTATTGTTTTCCTTCTAGCGTGTAGTGGATTCCCAGTACACGTTTGTTCACTGTTACGGATGCGCCTGTAGTAAGGCACACCGTCATCCTCGTTGGAGATAACTCTCGCTCAACATAGTTTAGACTACTATTCCTTAGCGACTAACAAGAATAATGAAGGCGGTCATTACGTCCTGTGTATGGACGTGAAATGATGCTTGTTACACTACACTTATAATCGAATTTAACGATCTCATGACAGCGATGGCATCTTGCCGTTCGCTTGCGCTCGTATAGCGAGAGTGATCGCTCTCGATGTAACAGAGGTCCATCGGTTCAGGACCTCCTATTTCCTGTCGTCTCGTCGAAGGATAGTTGACGAGTTAGCCTGAGACTGTCTCAGGCTTAAGTACCCTTTTTCCGCATGCGCTATCTCCTTCTCCAGCGTATGGAAGTCCTCTCGGAACATGTGGGTCTTGACCGGTCCATTTGACAAGGCCGTAGATGAACACGTTGGTGACTGCATGCTCATCAACAAGGTATCCCTTGTTGCTAATCGCAAGGTGGCGTAGGTGTTGTGCGTAAGCGTGCATATCACGCTAAAAATTTTTGAGCCTTCGGGTTGCAGAGCGTGCTCTGCTCTCGGCTCTCGGCGGTTCAAACGTGTCTTTGAGCCGAGATTTCAATATCTCCAACGACTCAAACACGTTTGGATCGTGAAGCTTGAGCCCCAAAGCCCAAGGCTTTGCTCGTCCTGTCAAGTGTGACAAGACGAAGGTGACTTGCACCTTGTCACTCTGGATGAGACGGGCCCTGATGGCGTCGTCCAACTCGACGAACCATCTCAAAAGGGAATCTTCGTCGGTTACCTTGTACCTTAAGATGTCAATCTTCAAGGTTTCGGGTCGACGCATGTGCTTCGGTCCGCCCATCGACTGATGAGAGCCTTGCTGCTGTAGCAATACTATCTTCTGTCTTTCGACGGCAAGTTCCCCTTGTAGGAACTTGCTGATAGCAGCATGTTGCTGGTCTCTGCTTAGAGACTCCAACATACCACTGATGGCGGGTTCGCCCATGAGCACACTCATGCGGCCGACTACCTCCCATTCTGAGTCACTCGGATGGGGGAAGCCTTCACGTGTGACGCGAAAGCTGTCGTCTTCTACGTACAACGTGTGCATGTTGGACGGACACTATGTAGTCGTTGGACGGACTACGATGTGCTACCAGGTGTAACGAGGCATTCTTTGTTAGGGGTGCCGCGAAACTTCACGTACCAAAGTACGTGCAGAGGAAGCTAAACTACTTGAACGACTCGATCAAGTAAAGGTGAAAAGAGAACTGTATCTAATATAGTTAAGCTATCGATTTACCTTTAATCTTTATCTATCTATATTAAACTACGTCGTCGTATGACGACAACCTGCTCACCACTCATTGCGCGCGTCTAGCAGCGATTGGTGGTAATCTATGGTTGATATGTCTTATATCAGCCAATCTTGGTGTAGTGAATGAATATAATCCATCTCGGATAATATCAGTAGAATATTGTCATGCGAGACAATATTCCAATTGACACCGTTTGGTGTCAAATTCATGATACAAGCTACCCGTTTACATTAACCCCCTTTAACCATCAATCACCCGTTGATTAAATTATAATTATTTGAATTAGGAAGACCGCCGTTGGATCACTCTGGGAAAGGGAGCACTTGATGGTCAAATTCCATTCACTAACCGAAATACGCATGGTTGCAAATACCAAGCGACTTACTACTATAGCAGCAAGAAATGCGACTGCACGCATGCGTGCAGCCGGTGAGAGTACTTCTCACATCTCAGTAGTAGGTGATTCGTCACCTGCTGCTGTGAACTTCACACGTGGTGACTAACCACGTGCGACGGGTACATCCGCTGCGTCTACAACGGGTACCGCGAATCGTAATCCAGATGAGCCTAAAATAGAGCTCATCTTTTCAGTCGAGTCGGATGATGCATCCGACTCGAAGGCGACACCTCACGCCTCCGGATCATTTGGGGCGGACACTGCAAGAGCCAGGTTGACTAGCTCTGGGCAACGTGGCGGCATCATACTCGAGATCTTCGGATCGAGCGATCGTTCCGACGAATCCTCGCCTCACGCAAGTCTATCCAACGACAGGACGCGTGGTGATGGTGGCGCTGCACCAATACATCACCACGAGCGAACTAATTCAAAGGATCGAGGTGTCACTGGTGTCAGAGCTCGTGCTGACACCAATCAAGAGGCCAGGGACCGAAACGTCTTGCGCCACGCTCCTCAAGTGGAGTCTTCTTGGACTCCGTCATCCAAAGAGTTGTATCGGGTGGCCTGCATGACCACCGAACGGTTCGAAACCTGTTGTCCGACTGTAGGTGGACCTGTCCTCCTAATTACAGCACGGAAAGTATCCGTCCTGAGGAAGAGTTCTTCACCGATGCATTTTTCAAACATCGATAGTACAACAGCAGCCGTGGCCGAGACGGTAAGGCCTTGGTGCAGGGATGGAATGACCTCATCCATAACATCGAGTGTATTGGCCGTGAGGCTTGGCTCGCCAAACTTGATGCAGCTCGCATCAGGTTTGAGAACCGTAACCCAGCCGGGGCGCGATACAAGTTGCACCGGCTGCCGCGAGAGGCAGGATTGCCGTGTCTCTCGTGGGGTGATTCGTGTCCAGGTTGCCTGGACAACTCGAACCGTGTCCCTAGGAGGCTTACCTCCCAAATGATCCCTACTGGAGGGCGCGCATCTCTTCCGAGATGGGCGAAGGGATCGACTGTACTCGCGTTCGGGGAGGTCGTTTTCCGACGGCCTTCTTCGAACGAAGCGGGTGGGTCTCGTCGAAGTGCTCGAAGAGACCAAGGACATCAACAATCAGCTGGACACGAGGCTCCCAGCTGTCCCACGCCGGTGGATAGCCACGCCAGCGGACGAGGTAACTCGTCCGAACGCCATTCATATCGCGGTGGTTCAAAACACACTCCACTAGTAAGCGTTAACCACCGCTTGAGTCCACCAAAGGATGTGGTGGCGGTTGTAACATCTGATCCGGCTCGAGGGTCGGATCAGTTTGATGTTCAAGAGCTGAACCGATTAACATAAACGTTTCATAATGACCTGGCTCATGAACGATCTCGGCTTTATGGGCTTGAGGATCTTGTGAAGGGATACGAGAATTGCTTGGCACACGATCGCTTGGACGATCGTGCCGCTTTTGCGTTTGTGGTGGAGTGGGGTTCTCTCATTTTTTGAGGCGATCCCGACTCTCCACTGGCGCCCAGACGACCGACTTACGGAGGGGGTACTCCGATTCTACTTGCACTTGTTTCCTTCTCACCTTGTGTACCCGTCGGCAGGGCGGGTTGCACTCTTCTAGGTGGACTCGACAAGATGCTAAACTTGACCGTTGTAGAGATTGGTGCTGATTAGATGAAAAATCCTCACCCGATCGCGTGTTCTGGGTTGGCGCTTTCCTAGAGTCGCCGTGATCTGCCCTGATCTCCATGTGCCAAAATGTGTACTTGAGTCGCGAGCCTTTCTGGACACTTGAGCCGTCTCGCGATCTTGTACTTCAACCGATACGGTTGGCTGCGTCCGATCGCAGTAGGGGTGTGTTGAGAGTCCTAGCACTCCTGGCCAAATAGCTCCAGGAGTGATCGTTCTATCCTTGATGTCGAGATTCTCAGACATCGGGGGCCAAAATAGCCAACCCGGGAGAAGATCGACACGAATTTGTTTAGAAGCAAATTGAACTCTTTATTACTCTGTTACCAAACAAATAGCTCTATTGGAATTACAAAATGCCTGGCCAAACTATCCAGGAATTGATACGTCTCGATGACACGCGTTGTCCTTGACATCGGGAGGCCAATATACGTTCCTGCCCGGAATTCCCTTGTATCTTGCGTAGACGGATCCATGTCGAATTTCTTGATCACATGGTTACAAAGCGCAATAAAATCACGTTGAGAGACGAGCCCTGGCCAATCGATCCAGAAGCAGATACTTCTAGCACGCGTGACAACATCTGTCTTCGGGAGGCCAATTTATGTTCCTGCCCGGAATGAAGTCGACATGTGCCCTTTGAGGTAAATTGAACTCTGTCTAATGTTAACCAATCAGACCCTCACACCTTACCCCTATAACTCAGAAAATCAGATGACACTCGTCGCCTCTACAGATCGCCCCTTGTACCTATGTGGCACAGACCAGATCCAACAACCGTCTGATCGCATCAGGGCATGGTCCACGCCAGATCGCGGTACCTTGATCGTGGCCCCTGATCGCGGTCCCCTGATCGCGGTACCTCAATCGCGGTCCCTTGATCGCGGCCCCTGATCGCGGTCCCTGATCGCGGTCCTCTGATCGCGGTCCCCTGATGGCGGTCCCTCAATCGCGGTCCCTTGATCGAGGTCGTTTTCGCCGCTTGGAACCATTCTAACTGGACGAGATACTTCCGTGAATAATCCCAACGGTGCCATCCATATGATCGGTCCTCGTTCCACGATCGTTCCGCCGGTTCCCACTCCGTACTTAGGCATACGTTCGAGGTTTTACGAAACCAATCTTGATCGACTTTACCACAATCGCCCCCTGCACAAATAGCCGATCTGCAATATCGGGCTCGCTTGTGCACGTTTAATTCACCACTTTCCGTTTCATCCTCCCGTTGCCTTCCATGGTTTCCCCGTAGTCCACGCCCAGCTTGCCACCAGCTAGTTGTGCGCCATCTCCCTCGGTGATGACGTAATCTGGTCCCGCACCTTCGGTAGGTGTTGACATTTTGCCACGCGAACACCCAAATGGCTCTGATTCCACTACAGACGCGGTTGAAGTTACCTCGGTGAGCGGAGGTCCGATCGGCCCTGATTTGGGAATCGATGCTGCTGTGGACCTCGCTTCAAGTACGGAACCGATCGGCTCCACATTGACGCCTGATGTCCTTGACAGTTCTGCTGCGAGTGACGAGCCGATTGGGGTCGTAAAATTTGCTACAACCACTGATCCGATGAGCTCGGCGTTGACGCTTGATGTCGTCGACAATTTTGCTGCAAGTGGCGACCCCTGTTAGGGCTATTCCGTTGCCGACCACTCGAGTTGAAGCACCTACAGTTGATAAAACGACCGCGGTCGGTATAATCGCTGGACTTTATCAGTGGATCGCATCCCAGCAGGATCTATTGGATAGCTGTCGCGATCTGGAGCAAGCGTTGCGGGAGCAAACTCGGAGGGGTGATCGACTAGAACGGGAACTCCGTTCTCTTACCGAGTCGGCCTCTCCTTTTGTGATCTTCGCTCAAACTCGTTGTGATCGCTTTCGTCTGGATTTGAATAATGCACTCGCTGAATCCGCCTTGCTTCAGGAGACAATTCGCGCGGGGATTTGCCACGAGCAGCAAATTAGCGACCTAAAGTCGAAATTTTCTGAAAACGACCCGATCACTTCATACGTTTAAAGAACGTCATGATCTCGAGCTGGCTTTCTTGCGACGGCACATGGATGAGGGGAACGCTCGATATTAAGCCGAGCTCTTATAGGCCAAATCTAAGAGAGCCAAGTACAAGGCAGACTGTACCAAGGCTCAGACCACGGTTCGCCACCTGCGTGCTGCCCTTGACGCTGTATCAGTGGAGCGCGATCAACTTCGGGATGATCTGGCTGAGTTGGAAGCTGAATATGACCGATCGTGCTCCTTGCTTTCCGAACGTGACGATGGGGTGGGTCTGCTTCAAGCTACTATCTCGCATTTGGAGCTAGAGCGCGATCAGGCGTTGCGCGATCGAGACGTTATTCGAATGTGCATTGCCGCGCTCATTACCGGCCCCAGATTACCTTCTTCGTCGCGTCCAGTTGAGACTTCCTTATCCACGAGTGCTCGTGTCAAACGCACTAGTACTTCCGCTCTAACCCCTCAGCCGCGGACCAAGAGAGCCAGAATCGAGGCTACCTTGCAGTCGGTCGTCAAGATGACACCCAAGACTCATCATCCGACTGCGTCCGGTATCGTCGCTGAGCCTTCCCCGCCGTGTGAAACTCCGAAGAACAACCGCTCCCGATCACCCCACAGTTCCACACGATCTCAAGCAAAACTTACGCCCAAGACTCCCGATCTTCCCGGACCTGGTGTTCGAAAAGGCAAAGGCAGAGCGCGCAACCCGACGCCTGCTCCGGCTAGCTCGGATGATGACGATTCATCGGGTGCTGGGCCTCGAACCTTGGCTGCACTCTACCGATCACGCTCTTCTTCACGGCGTAAGGTCCCGTTGGGTAATCCGACGACTCCGTCTTCTACGTTACCAGATTTGATCGTAGTGGATACCTCCAGCCCGGATGTGGATTCCCCCGCCTCCCCAGTTGCCGCTTATCTTAGGCCAAAACCCAAGGTTTTCTAAGTCGACTTGTTTGGCGAAGCTTCTAGCAGGTCGGAGGGTCCGATAAGCGTTACGGAAGACGTCCGAGCCCCAGCCAATAATCTGTTGTCTTCGGCCGAGTACAAAGATCTTCCTAAGACTAAGGTGCCCCAGGATCAGTGGATACCCGGGTATCACTGTCGCATACCAAAATCTTCTGTTTAAATTTCACCTGGGTATGCGCGCCGGGTGAGCTACATAAGCGTGTTGGAATTTGATTTGGAGTTCTTCTATCGCCATCTTGCCAGGCCCAAGCGTTACCCTTTTCCAGCCTCTCCTGCTGTATCGAAAGCACCTCCCATGTCTATGTGGTCTCCCCACTTGATTTCTTCGGCGCAGGTTGCCGCGCTTTATCGCCAGGATCCCTAAAAATTTTGTGCGTGAAGATTGCGCCCATGTCTTAACAGCCCGTTGGGTGGTTTGAACAGCTGCTGGACCTATACCACTCTTTCGAAGAGCGCTATATCCAGACGTTGTGTGAATTAACCCATACCTTGCCCATTTCTTCCGCCGATCGGGTTAAAGATTATGGGCTGATGTTATTCTGCAATCAGCGTAAGCAGCGGCGATCGCGATCTGGACCTCCTTGAAAAACCGTGCTTAAGTTCATACTCCCAGGAATGGTAGAAAGCCATTGCGACTTGGACATTCTGCTGGATCCGCATTTCTTGCACCTACCTCGCTTACATGAGAAGCAGTTCTGGTACCCCGGGTTGGGGACTGGGAAGACTAACATTCCCAACCTGGCTTCCGCTTTGTCGTTGACGAACTCTGCTGAGCCATGGCGTAATCAGTACCGGACTTCGATCGCGAATCACCCTGGCATGTCAATCCCTCGCCTATCCGGTAAGTTCTTCGCCCCGTAGTATATTGAGTTCAACAAATTTTGTGCTTCAATTTCATTGCTTCATACTGTCTTTAATCTTGATATCTCCGGAAATGTCTTCTACTTTTTTCAGGCCTCTTGGGCCGCGATCGTGCTTCGATCGCTACACATACTTACAAACATTCCTTCCTCCTTCATACACCGCCTCCTGGTGTAACTTTTCCCACCGTACGACCATGTGCAACCTCCTTGCACACTTACACACCCCATCCACCTCGATCTGGTCTAGACTCCTGGCTCTTCTTCGTGCGTTTGCATCACTATGAACCTATTTCGACTTATCCGATCGCGATCGAATTCTTGTAATAAAGCGCCACAATTTAAGTCTTCTTCATCCACTTATGATGGATCGCTATTACTTTTCCATTGAACCAGAAATTGACGGTGTACTCGTTCGTAACGCGTCTTTCGACCCGATCGGACGTCCACAATCTTTGTCACCTCGAATTCACCATCATCCAACTCGCCTTCCCAGCTATCTTCCAGTAGTAAGGCTTCGTCGAAATCGACCCGATCGGACTCATCTACCTTCAGTTGACTTTGAGGCCGCTCTGGGAACATCTTCACTGGCTTTAGCTTGGACACATGTACTATCGGGAACAACCTATAAGGTGTGCCTGCGATATTTAATTTTACTGCATGATCTCCGCATTTTTTCCTTACTGGAAAGGGTCCGTGCCACATATGGGCTAACTTCCGAGCATTTCCATCCTTCACGCGATCCAAATACAACCACACTTGTGCCCCTTGATCGATCTCTTGCAGATTCCTGTCGTCATGGTGACATTTCGATCGGTCCTGGATAGCGATCTTCAATCGATCGTTCACGATTGCTCTTGCCTGTTGATACTGACGCTGTATGTTATATCTCCATCTTCTTGGATCTCGATCGCGAGGTTTGACACTTCACATCGGTGATACTGCTTCCAACGTCGATCGGGGGCCCCAACCATGAATCAGATAAAATGGTGTCTCTCCGCGGACTCGATCTTGTGCGGCATTAATCGCATAGGTTAATCTTTCTGCATTTTGATTCCAATCTCTCTGTTTTTGTCAGCGACATACATCCTAATCGATCGCGTTAGAATTTGAACCATACGTTCTGCGGTTCCGTTAGCTTGAGGTCGATACGACATTGTGGCTCGTTGCTTCTTTCCCGCGATCTTGTTGAAAGCTAGAAAGAAGTCAGACATAAATCCTGGCTCCCGATCATGACGGATAATTTCACTCGCACAAAATCTTCGAAATACGCTTTCTTTATAGTTCTCTGCAATCGTCTGTAAAGTTCGAGACGAATTCGCTTTTGCGATCACTTAACCCGAGAACAGATCGACCCACAACAGCAACTCGGTATTTCCCTTAAACGATCGCGGTAAAGATGGGATATGATCCATTGCCAGAATTGGAATGAGTACGTCGCTTGCAAGTTGCCTGGAGATCCAACCCGATCTTGCGGGCGACCTTTGCCAGTTTCACAATCAACACATTCGTCAACATAGCGTTGCACGCTCCTATACAATCCTCGCCAATAGAAATTCGCCCTGATCCGATGGTATGTACGGCCTACCCCTTGGTGCTTACCCTCTAAACTTTTATGGTAATGGTGTAGGACGTCTTGTTGCAGCAACTCTGGAATTACCAGACGAATTGACTCTCCACGATCTTCGCTCTTTGATGCCACCCTGGGGCAGAAAAATAGCAGTCCACTTTGGTCGACTTCGCAGTCTGGTGAGATGAGTGCGCAGATCTTTGGGTATCTAGCACTCAGCGTGGCTATATTTCTTATCAGATATGTCTTCAAGTCCGATATCCAAGTTTCCTCATTTCGCGCCTGGTTTATACGTTCGATCCGGACTTGTTGTACAATATCTTCTTGTAAAACTGTCTGGGGCATCGTCTTCGCGTCGTTGATCGCGTGATCGCGGCTACCTTGACTGGGTGGTTACTCTGTTTTGTTATCAGTAGTTTTTTTAACCGATTAAGGGTCACGAGATCGGCTCGTTCTTGGTCTGATATGGCACATTTCCTTTCTCCTGACGTAACGCCTCGCTCTCTAGTCGATCAGCACTCTGGTTCCACCCCCGGTTCACATGTAGCAATTCGTGTTTTGGCCACGATCGGAGTTTCTCCATTGCCTCATGTTTTAAAAGTTGTAGACCTGGTGCTTTACAGTCGATTTTACCTCGCATCTGTCTTATTACCAAGTTCGAGTCACCACAAAAGATCACCCGACCTCTGATCTGATCGGACAGTGACTCCAGACCTAGCAACAGCCCACGATATTCAGCCTCGTTTACCGTCAAATCTTCCACAAATTCTTAAGTAGCCACCACGATCGTCCATTCAGGCAACTTCCATAATATTGCGCTGTAAGCGCCACCTTCCATCTTTACCCTTGCCGATCCATCGAAACTTACCACCAGGACACTTTCGTCTACTTCGATTGTGGGTGGTGGCATACTAAAGCTTTTTCGTGGTTGTTTTCTTGGAGCGATCGCGATCATCACTTCATCTACATCCTTTCGAGGTGTTACACTTGCAGCTAGCGTACCTAGCACTTCGTCTTCGCCTTTTTCACACCGTCTGATATCTAACGTCCAGTTCGATAGTAACGCCGCCCATCTCCCTAGTTTTCCGTTAAGACCCGACGACTGCAATAGCCAGGCCAACGTCGAGTATCTCGTAAGCACCATTACATCCCGCGAAACCAACATCGTAAAAATAAATGTCTAACATTCGGAGGAGGGCTAACACTTCTTTCTAACAAATTCGTAATTGACTTCGTTGATTTTCACGTGCGATTATAAAAAATAAAAGGCCAATGCGTGCAGTCATACTCTTGAAGCAATGCGGCTGATACCGCCCACTTACTGGCGTACACCACAATCACCGGTGCTCGATCTGGATCGAAATGTCTCAAGATCGGTGTCTCAGCAATTTTGCCCTTTAGCAAGTTTAAAGTCATCACCGCTTCCTTCAATCGACTTCCATTTCCAAAATCTGTATCGCCCCCTGTTTTCAGGTCCAGATCGCCCCCTGTTTTTTGGTCCAGATCGTCGCCGGACTCATTTCGCAAATCGTGAACACGACCGGGTTCACTGTTGGATACCATTATCCGAACTTCTTTATCTTGGCTGATCTCGTGGAAATCTTCTTCCCGTAGCTCGTAGAGCACGGACGCATATATAGCGAAGTCTTCGATACAAAGACTGTAGTAATGTAGGCTTCCCAAGAATAATTTCAATGATCGCAGAGTTCGAGGGAAATGAATATTCGCAATTGAGTTTAAATCCTTGGGGTAGGCTTCCAACCCTTTGTATGAAACTTGTTGGCCTAGATAGTCGACCTTACAGCGCCCCCAGAAACTCTTTGCCACACTGATAGATAGGCTCCATCGGTCACACACCTCTAGCAATCGTTCCACCTTTTCATACAGGGATGACCAGGATTCAGCAGACATCAAGATGTCATCGATATAAGACCTTCGGTCTAAACTGATGGTCTTGGATCTGTTTCCGGCACTCCGTCAGTAAACACATCGGTTGGTGTCGACGATGGTACTGCATGCGAGTTAGGTGTTAGGTCAATCTTGAGATAACCATATAGTGCATTGTCGATAAGTCGTTGGTATATCTGGGGGGCGTTTTTTAGTCCAAAAGTCACTCGCAACCATTCATACAAACCCGACGGCGTGATGAATGCAGAAATAGCTCTTGCTCGTTCCGTCATTTCCACTACCCAAAAACCACTTGCCATATCTAGCGAACAGCACCACATCGCTTTATCCAAGTCTTATAATAATTAGCTAATCAGTGGCATGGGGTAATTTACCAATCTTGTCAACTGATTCACCCTCCTGTAATCGATGCACAGCCGTATGTCCTCCCCGTCTTTCTTGATAATCACCACGATCAGAGAAGCCTAAGGTAAAATGGACGGTTGAATGATCTTGGCTGATAATAATCCCTTGATCAGGTCCGCCAATTTTTCTCGATTCCTAGGTGCCACCAGCCGTACTCTGGCACCTCCAACATCAATGTCACATACTGCTTCACGCGCAGCTGGAGGCAAGGCGTTCCCTTTGCCTATGAGCAAG